TGCTAATAATTATTGTTACAGTGGCATTTCAAATAGCCACAAGAGCCCAGAATGGTGAACATGTTGGTTGGTTTTTATATAAAGCCTTGCACACAATCAAGTAATAGATTTTTCTTTTATTTCATAAGGAACTCTTGGAGCTTAAGTTTATGATACTATTTACCTAGATGTAGATGTGTTGGATATGGATGTATTCTATACTTGAATCTGGCTACATGGTGAAGTCATATCTCTCTGTGTGTTCGTATATGAGGCCCATCACCCTGTCTCCTCGTGGTGTAAGCGGTAGCTCACTACCCAGTTAGAGAGAGATAATACCTCAAAGCAATTTAGCGAATCTGCACTGATTCAAATACTATTATATCTGAGAGCATACAGTATGTTCATTTCCTCATTTTTCCCATCTCACTTTTACTTAGTGTTACTCTGAAGAGGCTGGTGGTCCTCTGTGCCTCGATAATCCCTTTGATGTCTGTATTGATGAGCCTGTTTAAGAGGTTTAGTCTCATAGCTTTGGCCCTGTTGAGTTTCTTCCATGAAAATCCACATCTAAGTTGTGAGACAGCAGGCTGGTTTGTGTGCAGGGCAAGTGATGGGCTTGACTCTAGCGCAGATGTTAAGACTGACATAGCCTCTCAGCTGCAAGAACTGGGACTTGATGTGCCAGAAAGTCACGCTCTGTCTCATGTACCCATAGAGGGCATTGCTTGAATAATCATAGAACAGTAAACGGATTGCCTCCCCACCATTTCTATCCCTCTTAGTCTTTCAAGCAGATGAACACTGTCTCTCTTTGTCTAGACTGTGGAAAAATTGAGTTTGTGAATACAACTGAGCTCTTCACTATCTTTGACTTTTCCAAAGTTGAGAAGGTTTTTCGGGATGGAAAACAAGAAAGCTCTGAAGAACTAAACTGCTTTGGTATCATCTTTTTTTAACTGAGTTAACACAATATGATGTATTTTTATTTCTATGCTTAGCGAAAATCGTTGTTTACCTAAAGAAATTTGCTGTTACATGCAGAGCATTGCAATGAATTTTCTGTAGGTGTAACAAAGAATTATGGGGAACAAAAGGGGACTCTGACCCCTCTTTCTGGATTGGTCATAGGGGTCACCTGAAGGGTGTTAATGGTCATTCAAGGGTTCTGGTGGGCCATTAACTCACTCGACAGAGTGGTTTTGCTCACATGTCTCATTAAAGTGTGAATCAGGTAAGGGCAGGTGAGAGGTGAATCTTCAGGGTATTCTATTTCCTAAAAGTGCTCTGTAAGTAGGTGACAGTCATGTTTAAGCCCCCTGTTTAGATGGTTTTTCCTGGTTAAGCAGTTGCCTAAACAGAACTTACTAAGCAAAAAAAAGTGGTATTCATTCATTTTCAGTCTGCCTTTAAAACTTTTTTGCAGAACTACTTTCAGTTTTCCAAAAAGGTAAAAAAAAAACAACAAAAAAAACAATCCACTGGACTTTGTTTCCAAGTTTGAAGATTTTTCGCTTCTCATCCAGGAAGCTCTTTTAATTGAAAATTTCAGAATTAGCGTTGAATTTGAAGCTTATAGTAGCCCCTGGATTGTTTGTTTTTTACTTTTTTGGAATTACTATGACCTGGATGACAAAGAATCTTCACCAGCATACATTCAGTTTTACAGAAATCATAGCTGCATGTCTACTGCAAGTAGGTGTCATTTCCACTTTAGAGACAGCTGTTTCATCAACCTTATTTTTGCAAATACCAAGTGGTAATTTTGGATAGAGTTTTTGAGAATGATGACTTATTTCTGCACCATTTATTCAACCTAAACCCCAACATTTGGACAAGTTCAGCTAATGACCCAGTTATCTGATATTGATTTGACATTTAATGAAGCAGAAACAGATCTAAATTCCACAATTTGATAAGAACTTAACCACTCAGATATAGTATATTTGGCTAAATTTTTTTGATGGTTGTCCAATTGGAAGTGGTTAAGCATCAATGTCACTCCAACCAACTCCCCTTTCCATACTGAAACACATTATTCCCAAAACCCAATTCTACCACCATTGGGGAATTTTTTAATGTGGAGTTGTTGTGTTCAATGTTATGGTTGTGTTTCATCTGATTAGAGCATCCTTATTTATGCTTTCTCGTCTCTTACTTGGTAAGTGATAAGCTTCTTAAGGCTTGTTTTATAAAAATTACTTTGCTCTTTTTCAAAAGGTCAGTTTTGTGGAATGTGTGACAAATCATTGTCCTGTCATCATGCTAGGTCTTAAGATGAGCTGTGGATCTCTCCAGCTCTTTCAGAGATACTCTGGGGCAGGCATGCAGTTTATTAATGAAAAAATCCCAGAATGCAAATAGCAATGTGAGACCAGCGTTCATTGAACTGGGCCGCTGTCAATATATTTGTGCATCCCTCACTTGATGCTTCCAAAATTTTCTCTTGCTTGCTGAATTCACTCTCATCCCTTATCTCAATGTCCTTCTGGAATATCCTTTCCTCCTTCATCTGGAGAGGGTTGGCCTAGTGGTTAGAGCAGTGCACTTGGCCACTGAAAAAGTTGCAAGTACCCAGTTCGATCCCTTAACACAACACTGCTACGCAAGGGGATGGGTTAAATGCAGAGAGTGAATTTCCTCATTGTGGGACAATAGAGGGATTTACATTTGTTGTTCTTCTCTACATTAAAAACCTCAGACAGCTCCTCTGTCTGTTCATGGCAGTTAGATGTGGACCACTGCCCTGGTATATGGTACCAGCTCCCCCTGCCTCAGCAGAATTTTCTTTGCCATTGATGTCATGTTTTTCAGTTCTGGGTTGAGAGGCAATTTTATTTAAATGGAAAGAACATTGCAAATTCTTTTCTTCATTATCCCTGATATGCTGAAACATTGGTTTAATACGTTTAGTACCTTCGTAACAGAATTTGCCCCCCAAACACATTAATATTTTTTTTATAATATTGCTAAATAAATTATAAGCATTTTTGTTCATCAGCCAAATTAAATATAACACTAATTTGCAAATCAGTTGTGCTCTTTAAATATATATTTTCCTGCTTTTAATAAAGTTTCCATTGACCTTAGAATGTGACAGATTGAGTTGGAAGAAGCAGGAAGGTGTTCTTGAAGAGATGGATCTTATGTGATATCTAGAAGCTCACAAATGGCTTTTATGCTGAAAATATGGATTATAGAAATTATTTATAGATTATGTATACAAAATTGGTTCTGTTGGTTTAAAGCATTCAAATGTATTAATGATCTTATAATGAGATGGTCTGATTAATAACAGATCCAACCAAACAGTTTGCAGAATGCACCCTGTCAAGATAAGAGAGCTGCTTAATTTTAGAGGTTCAAATTAGGCACTGCATAGGCCTCTTCATTGCATTTTTATTTAATTAACTGACACTTTCAGTTGGGAGGCTGCATTTTCACTACTGGTTTCATCTCTGGATAATGGATTGATCAATTCTGAATAGAATGATCACACTAGAGTATTAATTTAAAACCTTACCCAGCTTTAAATATTTCCGCAGCTTTATTTGTGGAGTTGTTTCTTGTTTTTTCACTTTGCTGTAAGTTTTCTATATTCTGTGACAAAGCTATAAGGTAGACCATACTTTTGTGCTATATTGATCAAAAGCATTTGAGTTTGATCTCTTTTTTTCCCATTTATACCTCTTAGGAAATATCTCTCAAAGTTCGTGTAGACCCATGAACGTGCAAATAAGTCCCCTTTAAACTCTGCAAGTTTTCCCCTTCTTTACTATGAATGAGAAACCTGCTTACGCTTATAGTCTGCCCCTGTCTCCCTCTTTTAACTTCACTCTGTCATGATGAAGGAATCTCCTGGTCAGAGCCAGATCAACACGTGCAGTTCAGCTGAGAGAACTTAGCCTGCTGAAAATGCTGAGTCGTCTGCTGTCATCATGGTCGGGAAACTGTTGTTGAATGCATTCGACTGAAGCCTGCAAATAAAACCATTGCTCCTCGGCACCAGATGCATTTGGTATACTCCTTAAAACATTTTAAATTTTTTTGTATTAACCACCAATAAAAGAAAACACTGACCAGGCTCCTAGTGAGTGCAGTGACTGTGGTCTTCTGGTACATCTGCTGCAGACTCATATGACACAACAATGTCATATCTAATAATAACAATATTATTGTGAATATATTCCCACTCCTCCATATCAGCCTTTAAATTTGTTTTGGCTTTTTCCTATACAGCCTGTTTAAGTCATCCCCCTGAACTTTAGAATGATAAATATTTGAGTTTGACTCCACCAAGAATGTTTTAGGTAATTTTCAAGTCAAAGGGTCCAGTTCTGCTTCAGTTTTGATTACAGATGTCCTCATGTTTACCATAAACACCCTCAAGAAGTGCATATCAATTTTTATGATGGTGTGTTGGTCAGGTCTAAACCTTGACACTTCCAGCTTTGTTACTCATAGTTGGTGTAAGTTCTTTTTTTCTGCAAACATGTATGTATTTTATGCTAAACAGAGCTTTTTTTGTGTGTCCAAATGATAAAGCTTCAAACTAACTATCTGAAAAACGTTATTGATATTTCTTAATTCAGGCTCTTGGTGGTGATCTTCTTAAAAACAACTATTACTTTTCCTTCTTATCTTTAGTATTCAAAGGTACACCAAAGTGTTTGTTTGAGGTTGAAACCTGCTGAATATAATGATGTGAACCTAATGTCTTATAGCTCTGACTTATTCTGGCCATAAAAAGTGGAATTAAATGTGAGGCTGACCTTATTTTCTATACCTGTACAGTATAATGTATTTTATATTGCTATATAATGTATTTATTTGAACATCTTGCAGAAAGATCCATGTCGAAATATGTGGTTTAAATTAATTTATTGTATTTTTAAGCAGTTACTTACATTTAGAAATATTAACTTTTATGCAATCATCATTACCCATATCTTGGATGAACTCCTTAATTCATAATAACCTGATTTGAATTGTAGTAATTGTCAAAAAATTTGTTAAAACAGAAAACTCAGACGGACCGGCCACATTCAAGACCAGAGGAGGTATTGTTGAGGAGGTGGATTCTCTCAGAGCGACCATAAATCAGCATCACCTCGATGAAAAGAACGCTACACACAACAGCATGTCTACCCCTCGGAGGCGCAAACGCTTCCTCTCCTACCCTCGCTACGTTGAGCTGATGGTGACGGCGGACGCCAAAATGGCCCGTCACCATGGACGCAACCTGGAGCACTACATCTTAACAATCATGTCAGTAGTAAGTAAAATAATACTTCTAAAATTATGATGTTTGCTTTGATTGCTTGCTATAATTTAACAACAAGATGTAGGTTTTTAATGCCATGTGTCTTCCTATCTAAGGAGCCATTGATTGTGCTTGTTTTACACTTGTGACCCATATGGATATTTAGCTATGTCAGTTTTGAGCTTCTTGATGCAGGTTTTCCAAATTTATCTATTTTTTTTTTTTTTTGCAGCGTAGAAAAGATTTGCAATCCAGATTTAGCCTTATTCCTGACACATCTAAATATAACTAAACCACCCTAATGTTTTAATCTATGTGTCAAGCTGCACTATGTGTTTTGTGTTTGTAAATAAGCATTTTAAAATTCATATTCTAAGGCCTCATGCAGGTTAATGACAATTAATGACCTTTCTTCCTAAAACAACTTGGCAAAACCCATGTACATAAATCCATCCGTTTAAAGGTTAGTATGTAAATGAATGGAAAAACAAATCAGAGACGTCCAGAAGAGAGAAAAAAAGTCCCCATAAGTAAATAGTAGATCTGAGAAGTGAGAATATAAACATGTTTTTTGCACCTAGTGTTAAAAGCATTTCCATCATCAGGTTTTACAGTTAGAAATCTTGCTTGTAAACATTGCAGTGGCTTAAGCTTAATGGAGCCAAAACTACAGTGCCCAGTTAATTGCTTCTGCAGCTGAACCCTCACTGAGTCCCAAAGCAGTCGAACAGTCAACCGACTCACATGGTTATTAAATATCTGAGTCAAACTGTGTAAAAAAGTTTACGTTAAGAGTTGAACAGAACTGCATGTTCCCTCTGCCATGTCTTTCCAGTTTCATTAACCGCAGATTCTAAGCACTTATTAACATAGGAGAGAGTAATGATTGTCAGTGTTGTGTTGTTGTTCAAAAGAGAGAGGTCAGTAAAACAATGTGTTAACTTTTATTACCAGGTTTAAACACAAGTCGAAGATTCCCCATGGTCTGATAACCTTAAAAAATCTCACAGCCTTTACTCCAAAAAGTAAAAAAAAAATTAAAGCAGAAAGGCATCAAATTATTTTGTTTCCACTTCCACTGAAGCAGGTTTAATGTTTTGTTGGTGATGATGTTTCTGTAATGTTTATCTCATTTACTTTGTCAAAGACATTAATCCAAAAACAGCACTGAAAAAAGTGAAACGTCCGTGTCATTTGGTTAAATAAAAAATGATAGTGTTTGAAATGAAAACTTGTATTTTTGTTTTAAAACCATTCATTTTACTTTACAGTAAAAATAAGTTGCAAGGTAAATATACCTCAAGTCAAAGGTAATAGTGTCATAACACCACATTGTGAAAATCAATAACTGGATAAGGTCTGTCCTTTCCACAACTAAGTTTGAAAATATGAAAGGTAGTAAACCTTTCATAGTAGTAAACCTTTCATAACCTTTAGATATCCATTCGTTCATTCATTTTCCATCACGCTTTAACACAGCTGGGAGTCGAGAGGTGCTGGTGCCGATCTCCACCTGTCTATGGGCGAGAGGCGGGGAGCACCCTGGACAGGATGCCAGTCCATCGCTGGGCAACACAGAATCAAACAACCATTCATGCACAAACTCACACCTAAGGAGAATTCAGAAAAGTAAATCAACCTAACAGTCATGTTTTCGATTGTGAGATGAAGCCAGAGTACCAGGACAGAATCCATGCATGTAGAACATGCAAACTCCAAGCAGAAAGGCCACGGGCAGGGAATCGAACTCAGAAGCTTCTTGCTGCAAGGCAGCAGTCCTACCCATTGATCCACTAAGCAGCCCTTATGATATCATTTAAATATCATGAGCTATAAATCCTATAATCTTTATGATCCATAAATTATGATGGATCAATGTGAAATAGTGGATTACATTAAAGCGTCATGTATGTAATCTCTGGAATAAATACACTTTTAAATGTATACCATTTCACATTTTGGTTCAGTATCACACATTGTTGACTCAACTTACATAAGAAAGATCAGGTTTGATCAGTTCAGAATTAAAGCTTGAGTGACACCGATTAATTTACCTGGAATCATTTTAAGTAATTGTCATTAGGTAAAACATTTTTCAGTGAGCAACCTGAGCCATATGGGCTCTTTGGTCCCTCCACTGTGAGTTTTAATAACTTGGAGCAAAAGTGATACAGGCATTAGCTGTACTCATAAATATAGAAAAATGGCTTGTTTCAGAAGTTTTAGGATTTTTTTCAAGTGAAATCGGCATATTTTTTCCAAAACAGAATAGGAGCTAGAATCTAGAAATCATACTTAAATTTGTTTCATTAGAATACAAACTAGATTCCACTTTAATAATCAATTTTTACAGGTTATTCTGTCAGATAAATAAACTAAAATATAGTTTTCTCTTATCTTAACGTAGACATACAAATAAAAATGTGATGCTAACTGTAAAACTAGCCAATTTATATCACACATACTCATAAAAGTTGAAAAGATGTATCTTTATAAGGTTTTATTCTGTAGTATCATAGGTAAATAAAGGATATTTTGGTTGTTTAAGAGTTGCTGGCTTTGGCAAACATACTTGGACACTGGCTATTATTAAACGTAACTTTGTGCTTAGATGGTTGTGTTTTAAACATCTCCCACAAAGGCAATAAAACTGTCCATTTAGATATCTGCAAAGCCTATTAAAATCTGTCTTTAAAGTTCCGATTTAGGATGCAATTAATATTTATAATAGTTTTATGTAAACGTCTAACAGAAGTTGTAAATATACTTGTACTGTTGGCTTTAAAAAAAACATAACATTATCCTGCTGTTTTTGTTATGTTTCTTACATTTCTATCTTTGTTTAGTTTGATCAAAGATCCTGCAGGCTACAGCGGCTTCAACCACTGATTGTTGCACTGGTCACATAACATTCACTGAAGCAAGAGGAAATGCACCCACATCTCATATGTCACTCTTAGATTAAGAGCCTGCAAAGACTCCCTGCATGTAGGCCGAGACCACGTTTGCCTACCCCGAGGCTAAGACAAGCTAAATGTTTATGGTAGACTAATGAGTTCCTGTCAGGAGGCCGGACGGAGCCCCAGGAGACCCCTGGCCAACCATGACTGGGGGGTTCCAGAGCAGCAGAAGATTGATTAGATATCTGCTGTTTATCTTATCCAAACTGAGGGATTTTTACTCTCATTAGACAAATTAAACCGATATAATACAAAATTATACTGTAGTTATGATGTCTTAATTTCTCTTAAAGTCTGTGCAGGTTTGTGGAGATGTGCATTTTTTTGTCTCTGTGTTTTATTTCTGTTACAGGTAGCAGCAATATACAGGGACCCCAGTGTAGGAAACCTTATTAACATCATGATCGTCAAGCTGGTCGTCATCCACAATGAGCAGGTGAGTACAAGGATCTTGACTGCTCTTCGGTGTATGCAGGTCTTCAGTATGGCTGACATCATCACAGGTGTCTCTGGTTTGGATTTTCTTTTTCAAGTGGCCTGCATGAAATTACTCTGTCAGTCTCAAGTCACATGAGGGGTCTCCTTTCCTTGGAGAACAAGTGATACTTTTGTAAAGCACCTGCAAAAGGGAATTGGCAGTGGGGTTCCCTGTACATGCATTCTAGATTTTGAAAACTTTCTATAATGTTTGGAGGCTAGGTTTAATTAGAAGAGAAAAATATATTTAAAAGAAATCCTAAATTGTGGACAAGGCTTTTACTCATTTGAACTTCTTTTATTTAGCAGGGTTTTAAAGATCTAGTTCAATGATTTTGGAGTTGGGGAGCTGCTAAAGGATTATAGGCAGTTGATATCTTACTTGCAGGTGATATATCTCTTACTATTTAATACTACTCTAGTCCAAAAGCTGACTTCTGCAGTTCCATAAAATAATATCTTAAAAACATCTTAGTGGATGTGCAGTGGATGTCTTATTGCACTGCAAACAAAATGAAATCTAAATAAGTCATTTCTTCTTAAAATAAGTGCATTTTTTCTTGAATTAAGGATTTAATTGAGACACTTTGACAATGGAACAAGACAATTTACACTTAAAATAAGAAAAAACAATTGCATTGTCTTATTTCAAGTGCATTTTATCTAGATACCTTATTCTAAGAGTAAAAATACTAATTCCATGGCAAATCATCTTATTTAACTGCTCAAATTAAGGGTAAATACCCTTAATTTAAGACATTTTTACTCATTTTGAGATCATTTTTGCAGTGTGTTTCTTTCAGCAGTAAATAGATCACGGCCAGACTTGATCTTGTGTGGATAATATCCATCCAATGTAAATAGGCTAGAAATGTTCTCAACACCTTTTTTAATGACTAGAGCTTCTCCTTAAATCATCTCACTTAAAAGCTGTTTGTTTTTACTATCTGTTTTTCATATTATTTCTCAATTTAAACCTATATTCTTCAATAAACTCTCCTGACAAAGTTTTTGTTTTTGTGTAATTTTCAAATGCATACACTGTACGATTTTTTACGCTTTTCGGGCCAAATCAAAGAATTTTTTGATCGGGCCGACTTCCAGCCTCATCATACGTTATGTAGTGTATCGGGGGGTAACGAGGGCGATAAGCCTCTCATGACCACCTCCCGATCAGGAATCGTAAGTTCAGGAGAAAATCAAACATGTTTGACATTCAGTTGGATGTTGAAGGTTGCATCAGGGCGTCGGGCCGCACAGTGTCAGAAAGTGTCGTACAGTTTGAGCTTTAGTAGCGTGCAACAATTGAAAATATCGCACAGTGTACAGTACGCCTGGCTTTAAGCTACAGGAACTGTACTATGCTTGCAATCCTTTTTTCTTGTTAATAATGTGCTGAGAAAACTAAACTTAGCAGTGTGTTTGGAATTTAAAAAAAACGTGATAGATGTCCTTTTCTCCTTCCTGGTAGCCATTTGTAGACATCAGATGATGGTTATTTTTGAGATCAAACTGTTTTTAAGTCAACAGAACTGCAATTGTACCTGTTGTCTCTCAAACAAACATTTGGCTTTGCATTATCAGTGAAGAGAACCAAAGAAAGTGATCTATTTTATCAAATATATAAACAGCTTTTTAACATTTAAACAACACTTTATCTATACTTAACAAACCTGTTAAGTAACTGTAAATTAGGGATTTCTTTTTAATCAATTAATCCCTTTTCAACTGAAACAGGAGGGGCCCACTGTGAGCTTCAACGCTGCCACCACGCTCCACAACTTCTGTGTCTGGCAGCAGGGCCAAAATGTCCAGGACGACAACCATCCTTCTCACCACGACACAGCACTTCTCATCACCAGGTGCACATTCATCTGCAGTGCTCTTCTTTGAAAAATTGTTAATCCAACTCGTTTGTGTAAACACACATCTAATAATAATATTGTCTTTCTTCCTACAGGGAAGATATTTGCCGTGCAAAAGATAAATGTGACACTTTAGGTAAACTATATTTTCACGTCCCTTTTAATGCAATTTCCACCTGACATGCAGCAGCTCATAAAATGTTTAACAATCTGTTTATTAAACTATTAACAGTAAAATATGTGAATTTTTATGTATTTGTTTATGTGTGTGTTTATCTGTAGGGCTTGCAGAGCTTGGCACCATGTGTGACCCATTTCGCAGCTGTTCCATCAGTGAAGAAAATGGAATTAGTGCCTCCTTTACCATCGCTCATGAGCTGGGCCATGTGTAAGTTGCAGTTCAGAGCCTGAAACAACCTCTTTCACCTCTAAACACACACACACCCACATAGTGCATGCATGAAAAACCCGTCTCACCCCTCACAGCTAGCCTTGACAACAAAGCTCCCTTTAAAAGAGATGCAGGGTGCAGCAGCCACAGGTGCAAGACATAATAAAGTTAATAAAAATGACTTGTAATAACACAGGCCTGTAATATCCCCCTATACAGCTCCAGTCAGTCCGCTGAACTCTACTTTGACAATGACAAGGTCGGAAAGATTATAATGTGTACATAAATGAAAAAGCCCAAAGTACCCTGTAAGACTATTTACCTTTTGTCTTGTTATGAAAAAAAAAAGGTACTTTATTAGAATTTTTAGTAAAAGAAAATATTACACTTTTTTTGAAAAATTTTACAAACAAAAAACAAAAGGTTTACAGTGAATTTCAAGTTTTTAATACTGAGATTAAATTCTGAAAGCAGTCACGTTGTGTTTTATTTAGGGATATCAGAGTAAGGTGGGTGGTTTAAAAAATGCACACCACATTTCACTTTACAACTCATACTATATACTATATATTTATGATGTTTTCTTTGTTTTCTGTGACGTTGAAGCCTTAGCAATTGGACTAAGTATTGGGTTCCCACTCCTAATTCTTCCTCTGTCCACTTGTGATGTCATAGTGCAATCATGTGTGAGTCCCCTAACATTGAGTGACAGCCGCGCTATCACAATGTGCGTGTCTGGCAGGGATGCTGTTTTCACAACAAGCAAACACTGACACATGTGTCAAGTTAGAAAATGACCTGTATAAATTATCCGTCTCAAAATGGCCAAGTCAAAACACATGACCTTATCTCCAGCATGGTCTGCTGTTTATTCCAAACATTCCTCTGAGGCCAAATCCCGGTAAATCACGTTTTGCCTTCTCGCTCCTGCGGTTCTGGTTTCAGGTGATTTTAATAAGCTGCAATTTGAGAGGCATTATTTTCTACTTCTTTCTTAGATCTGGAGCTTAATTCATAGGTGATTTTCCATCCCTTCAAAGCTAACTCTTTGCCAAGTTTTCTCTTTTCGTTTTTCTTCTTTTGTCTCTTCCTGCCCACCTACTTTGCAGAGTGTAATCAGGAAAATAAAAGAGAGATTTTCTTTCTTGTCTGGCTGCGGAAAGAGAAAAGGACCAGTGTCAGTGTGTAAGTCGCAGCTTGAGAATGGCAGATATTCTTCTACCTCCTCTGTCACGCTCACGCATTCTTCCAGTGGAGAGATTGAACCAGAGCAGCAGCAGATGGATCTCACTCCCTCCCTTCTTTTTTCCCTCCAAGCTCATGTGGATCTGTTTATGCTAAAGTTTAAGCAGCTGGAGGTCCAGTTGGCGCTGACTCTGGCTGAGGTTTGAGGGTGGTGTAGGCCCTCCGGAGTGTTCAGCGCGCTGGGAAAGCCTGTGAGGAGGTGGGAACCGCTCAAGTGGGCTGCATATTAGAAAAAGACTTAGCCTAAAGGATGGGAGGCCTTTTTCAGATGTCTTCAAGGACATGTGATGGTGAATAGACATGTTAGGGATTTAACTGGCATCCCTTGATAGCTGTTAAAAAGTGATGTGGGCTTTGATGAAACATTCTGCTTTGTTATTGCAGTCAGTTCTTACATCAGTCATTGCAGTCATGGTTTTACAACTACAATTTCAGCTTCAATTGAACAAATATATAGAAGTAATACATTCTAGATGCTGTAAGAGTTATAGACTGAGATATTTTGCAAAGCCTCTAAGCATGTGCAATACCCGTTCTCTCTAGATGTTTTACTAAAGACCAAGACTATTCACGGCAGTTTAGTGTCAAAGTGCTGGTTCCATTCAGATGCAACCGATATTTTTTTTCATCTAAAAATTTCAGCTCTTCCTTTTGTGCCCTTACAAGCCAATGATGAGAAAATAATGGAATAAAAACATGATTTTTTTTTTCTTCCTTCTGTTGAACACAAATAATCTGAAGCAATGCCAAGTGGGTCTAGTCCTTTACCTGCTGCCTGCAATACCTCATCATGTTCTCTTCATAGTTGTAAGTTTGTCTAAGTTGTCAGATCTATTGCACATCTTGCATGTAGAGAGGCTCCACTAATATATACGTTTGGATTCATCTTAATGTTGTGACAGAGAAAATCAGTACAAAAGTTAGAGCACCAGTGAAACCATCTAGCTTTAAATACAACAATAATCTTGTCTAATAGTTTGATGTAAATGCTTACAGTCCATTCAAAAGTGTGACAGAATCGATGCTTTTCTTCTGCCGTGGTCCGCTAATGTCTATGGCAATGCTAGAATGAGCAACTAATTTCCCTGAAAGTTATTTGCTTTGTTGTTGCTCTTTCACATTTTGCCCATTGTCATCAATAGATTTGTCAGAATTGTCTCACTCGATGGCTTTGAAGTAGACACATTTTTCATGCTTAAATGTCTGTAATGTCTGGTAAAGAATCGAACTGTAGATTAGGAAAATCTTAGGAACTGTGGAGCTGTCATTCATTGTACTTACAGCATGAAGCTTTTTCGGGGGTTTGTTTCAGCCAACTTTGAACATTTAGATACTGAGATTGTGGACCTTTGTCTGCAGAGCTCAGTCAAACTGGATAGAGAATCTAATTGAATTTAGGTTTGGATTTTGAATGGACCATTCAATGGCATAAATATGTCTTAAATATGTCTTAACTAACATCTCTGTTGGATAATGTCTCCCACCCCATTCATGAAGCTGTTGCAGAACTGGAGAGCTCCTTCAGTCAGTGACTGACTGCTGCACCCTAAATGCACCAGGGAGCGTCATCACAGATCCCTCCTCCCAGCAGCTGTAAAACTCTATAGCCACTGCTCCAAACAACCTCAATAGGTTGTTACATTTATGCTGATTTTGCACAGTTTCTATCGTAGTCAGTTAAATAACATACTGCTTTTGCACATCTCTGATGTTGCTGCTATTTTCAAATATCCATTACTGTATTTTATTGTTTATCTTTTAACTCTCCGCTATTATTTTATACCAATTTCTAAGCTCAACATTTGTGTGACAATTTTTTCTATAATCTTTTTGCTGCTGTAAACACCAGAATTTCTCCATTGTTGGACAATGGATTTTCTATTCTATTCTATCAATATTTCCGACCGAAACTATGGATTTCTGTAGCTTCTTGAGGTAGCATACTGTAGGGCAGGGGTCACCAACTTTTTTAAGGCTGAGGGCTACTTTATGGGTACTGAGTCATAGGACGGGCTACCAATACTGACCTATGAACTAGAGGAGTCGGCGTTCACCTGAACTTCATAGATAATAAACATATTCTATTGTTTCTTTTCATTTTTAATTTGCTTTTAGATATTCTCATTATGAAATCCATATAAATCCTCAAATGTTCTAATTTATTGATATGATAAAATGCTTCATAAATGCTTCAAAATAAGAGCTTCAGTAGAAAATAACATTTCAGATTTAGTCCACTGGTGAATTGTTCTGTTTTCAAAAGATGCTGAGGGCACCCCATGTTGTCCTTGAGGACCCCTTGGTGCCCATGGGCACCACGTTGGTGACCCCTGCTGTAGGGGATAGTTGAATTCCAACTAAAGGCCCTTGGTTGCCCAGGATTGTATGTTGGTGTAAATATTGTATAAAAGGATCAACATTTCATACTTTTGAAAAAAGTTTGAAAACCATGTGAAACATTATGCTCTGCTTTATGATTGTTTGTCATTCAGAATTCCAGAGAACATAACATTTTTGTGGTTGTAATATGAAAAAACAAATAGTTAGGGGGGCCACATGCCGAAGGCATGGCCCACCTATTACTATTGCACATATTTATTAGGGGGGCCACATGCCGAAGGCATGGCCCACCTATTACTATTGCACATATTTATTCCGCGTATTATTATTATTAGGGGGGCCACATGCCGAAGGCATGGCCCACCTATTACTATTGCACATATTTATTCCGCGTATTATTAGGGGGGCCACATGCCGAAGGCATGGCCCACCTATTACTATTGCACATATTTATTCCGCGTATTATTAGGGGGGCCACATGCCGAAGGCATGGCCCACCTATTACTATTG